AAGACCTGAGTCTGAGGGTTTAACTAAGACCTGAGTCTGAGGGTTTAACTAAGACCTGAGTCTGAAGGTTTAAATAAGACCTGAGTCTGAAGGTTTAAATAAGACCTGAGTCTGAAGGTTTAAATAAGACCTGAGTCTGAAGGTTTAAAAAGGCCTGAGTCTGAGGGTTTAAAAAGGCCTGAGTCTGAGGGTTTAAATAAGACCTGAGACCTGCAGGACTGGACTGGACTGGACTGGACTGGACTGGACTGGGCTGGACTCACCTAACTGAAGTCTGTCTGGTTCTGTTTCTGCTTCTGACCCGGTTGGGTCCATGGGGTACCGGTGTGTTCCTCAGGAGGGATTACGAGAGCCGCCCACTGAAGCTGCAGTTGTTGTCTGAGATTAAAGCGTACCCCCACAGGACGGACCCAGACTGGGTTCCTGAGGCCGACGCCCCCATCGATTACTGCTACGTCCGTCCCAACCACATCCCTTCTGTCAACGCCATGTGCCACGACACCTTTTGGCCAGGTAACACACCGCCGGCCCTCCTCTAGCCTACCTGTCTGAGCACCAGTCCAACCTCCAGGTGTTCCTCCAGGTGTGGACCTGTCCGAGTGCCTGCAGTACCCGGACTTCAGCGTGGTGGTCCTGTATAAGAAGGTGGTGGTGGGCTTRGGCTTCATGGTGCCCGATGTGAAGTACAACGAGGCGTACATCTCCTTCCTGCTGGTGCACCCCGAGTGGAGACGGGCTGGCATCGGGACCTTCATGATCTACCATCTGATCCAGGTGAGTCCTGCTGGTGCTGATTGTGTGTGTGGGACCACCTGGACCCTGACGTCTGTCGTGTTTCATAGACGTGCATGGGTAAAGACGTGACGCTCCACGTGTCGGCCAGTAACCCCGCCATGCTGCTCTACCAGAAGTTTGGCTTCAAGGTTGAGGAGTACATCCTGGACTTCTATGATAAATATTACCCTGCAGACAGCGTCGAGTGCCGCCACGCCTTCTTCCTGCGTCTGAGGCGCTGACACGCCCACCAAGCTGTGTCATCCACAACCTGTTCCTGCGAATCAAAGTTTGAGTTCTCCTCAGTGTTTTACATGGTCCACCTAACAGCAGGTGTGTTCAGGTGTTCTTTAAAACAGGAAGTCCCATCTGACACGCCCCCATCCTGTCAATAACAACCTGAAGTATGCCTGCTACATCACTTCCTGTCTGCTGGGGATGATCCTCCTCTGTTGAGTTAAACCAGATCAGGTAAATGTTCAAGTTTAGTTAAACCAGACCCCAGGTTTAGTTAAACCAAACCAGGTAAACATTCAAGTTTAGTTAAACCTAACCAGGTAAATGTTCAGGATTAGTTAAACAGCACATTTTTGTAATCCAGGCTCAGTTCTCTGACAAGTGTTTTTATTTTAATTCTTTTTTTCTCATGTTTTGTGAACTTTTTTTATTTTTAAAGGGCCAATATTATGTGTTTCTCAGGCATATATTTAAATACTATACTATAATAAAGTAACTATGTCACCTTCAGTTGTTATTAAAATGTTGTTTATATGTTTAAATAGAAAATAAACTTGACTTCTCATCATATCTGTTTCTAAACTCCTTGAAATTGGCCTCTGTCTCTTTAAGAACCTCCTTCCACTTCTGTCCCACCCATTTCAGCACGGGGCTGTGTGCTCTGTGCTGAGGAAGCTCAGCTTGGAGACACAGTCCAGAGGAGGAGCTGAGCCCAACCTGTTGTTTCTGCTCCTGCCTGCTGCCTCAGGACACCACAGGATGAATTGAGTCAAAGTAAGACTCTGGACATGTTTTTGATGAAAGGATAACATTATAACATGATATAAAACTCAAAAGTTCATTTTACATCATATTGATCCTTTAAACTGTCCTAACCAGGCTCATAAACCATAAATCAATTTGAATAAACAAACTTATATGTTCTAAAGATTCACTTCATTCGGAACAACAGGAATTTAAATAAACCAGCTGAGAAAATATCAGTTAAATCAGGTAAATTAAATACATTTAGATTAAATGACATTAAAACAAATTATCTTCATCTATTTTATTACTTTAAGAATTCATTTCAAGTCCAAACATTTGGTGTCAACATGTGAGTAACTTCTTTTTTTTTTCATATTAAAATCTTAACTTCCTCCAGTTGAATGAAAAATTTCTGTGAAAAGATCGGGATTCTTATTGACCCGCTTCCTTCATGGTACCAGAACTGAACCAGAAACGATTTAATCTGACTTCTTTTAGAGGCTGAAGAACATTTCTGATCTGAAGTGACTCCTCCTCATCATCAGGAGGGTCTTTAGGATTACTTGAACCTGGTTCTGATCCAGTTCAGCCTGAAACACATTCATCCAGGATGACGAACAAAGCCCGGTTTTCTTGGTTTATACTGAATTAGTTGGTGGTACTTTGGGAAACAGCAAACCTCTCAGTGACACTGCTCAGAGTCTCCGTTGCTGGACTGGCTGGTTCAGACCGTTCAAGCTGCTGGTCCACTACAGTCCCCGTCAGAACCAACCTGAGACCAAACATCAGTTTTATTTCTTTGATTTATATGTCTTGAATTTGCTTCAGTTCAGACTCCATGTTGGAAACAAACCTGTTGTTTCGTCTGGCCAACATGAAACTGAGGGTCAGACTGACTTCATACGGATCCTCCTGAACCACAGCAGAGGCCATCTGAAAACCAAGAACACGGGAAGTCAAGCAGAACACACCTGCTCATCTAACACACAGGTCAGCTCTGTTACACAGGTGACGTGTACCCGGCCCAGACGAGGTTCTCCCAGCAGAGTCCTGAAGGGGATGTTGTTCTGTGTGTAACTTCTCAGGTGAGCACATACGTGATCCAGCTGCTTCCTCCAGAAACCTGATAACAAAAAGTTAAAACAACCTCAAGAATCAGAAAACACAACAACAAATATCTGGCAACGAGAAACAGAACATAACCCCTAACCCGCGACCCATCCAACACCAAGAAACAACCATACAAACCATCCAACACCAAGAAACAACCATATGTACCATCCAACACCAAGAAACACAACCATATGTACCATCCAACACCAAGAAACAACCATACAAACCATCCAACACCAAGAAACAACCATATGTACCATCCAACACCAAGAAACACAACCATACAAACCATCCAACACCAAGAAACAACCATACAAACCATCCAACACCAAGAAACAACCATACAAACCATCCAACACCAAGAAACAACCATACAAACCACTGCACCACAGCTCCATTAATAATTATTTAGTAATAATTAGATCAGGAGTTGGGTTAGTTACCTCGCCCCGGACTGATGGCGGTCAGTGGTGGACGGTGGTCTCTGGTCACCAGCGGTCTTTGCTGGTCCTTCTTCTGCAGCTCAGTGGCTGATGGGTAATAGAGTCCTACAGTTTGAGTAGAGCGGGTCATGGTAGGCGGGTTCACCTTCATGAAGGGGAAGATGTTTGATTAAGGAATGGCCTGCCAGGTGGCATTATGGGAACACAGATAAAGAACTAATTCTAGATAACATGGCAGGAAGCATACAAAGGCACAATGTCAGGTGTGCTGTGTACCTGACCAGTGGTGTCACTTATGACAGGTTGTCTGATGTCACTGGATGAAGTGGGCGGGGCTGGCCCTTCAAGTAAGATGCCACAGGTAGCACAGTAAAGGGCGTACGGATCTCCACTCGCTCCACATCGCCAGCACTCCACACAGCTGGCTGCTTGTGTGGCCTAAACACAGATAACATCACTARGTTTCCCACAATGCTTCACTTCACACCAGACGCTCCTCATGGCTCTGCTCTACCTTCACCCTGGAGCTGCACCAGTCACAAAACCTGGCGTCGCTGCGGTTCAGACGTTTACACCTGGAGCAGGTAAGCATCCTGTGATCTGTTGCACAGACAGAGGGCGCGCTGATCTCACAACGTCTCATCTGCAGCAACAACATATTCCACTGAGATAAACAGGTACAGGTGAAGCATTGAAACAACATGCACCTGTTCAGCTACAGACGTACCGGCTGCAGGTGACTCTCACAGGTCAAACACCTGGACATGTGAGCTGGATTCCCACTTCCACAGGAAACACAAAGCAGATGATCCTACCAAACATTACACCTCTTAGATTCACAGTCCTCCACATCATGTGCTTCACCTGTGGAAAGAAACACCTGTCGTGTACCTGTAGAGCAAGGCGGGCCTGGGGCTGCCTCTGTGGACCAATGGATGCCTCGCAGATCAAACAGGTCGAGGTGTTGGAGGGAACCAGAGAGTTACAGGTGACACAGCACAGCATCTGCCAACACAACACACACTCAGCAGCTCCTCACCTGGATTCACCTGCACTGCTATCAGGTGTGTGTAGTACCTGTCCTCCCTCGGCAGGGGGCAGCCTCTCACCAGGTAATGGAGGGACAACAGCTCCGCACTCAGCACAGAACCGAGCAAACGGGTCTGAAGGACGCAAGCTGAGACAGCAAGGACACCTGGGCAGAGACACAAAGATGTTTAAGTAGCTATGTGGTTCTAAGGTGTGTCTGACAGTGGGCGTGTCTCTTAAAGTGGGTGTGTCTGAGTGTCTGACAGTGGGCGTGTCTCTTAAAGTGGGCGTGTCTGACAGTGGGCGTGTCCCACATGGTGGAAGTTTACCTCAGGAAGTGAGTTTCTCTCTGCACGCAGCGTTCCTGCGTGCTGCTCAGCTGCTTCCTGTCACGTGAATCCTGACAGACAGGAAGTGAATCACAAGTTTTGCTCCCACCGTGTTTCAGATTCTGTACTGGGATCAGTTCGTTGTCTTGTTTACCACAGGTCTGGCTCTCTGGGATGAACTGGTCCAGGCATCAGGGACGGTCCGTGGGCCCGGACGACTGTTCAGGAAACGAGGACCTGGTGGACGAGGGCTCCATCCCATGGTCCTCGGCTCTGAGGGAAGTCAACAGGACAGGAAGTGAAGTCAACAGGACAGGAAGTGAAGTCAGCGACAGTTTGGTTCTGATCTGTGTTGTCAGTGGTTCAGCTGCCATGTGAGCGTTACTCTGCAGGCAGGCTGGAGTCAGCTCCAGGTGAAGGGTTTTGGTTTTCATGACTGTAGCTTCATTCCAACACCTCCAAGGTGTGATACCTGAGTGGAGACGTGTTGACGAGCTGACAGACGGTGAACAGGTGATCACACCTGGGCTCTAAAACACATCAATAAACTCATTTTTCTACAGGAGGGGAAGTTGTTTGGTTTTAGAGAATCAGATCTGATCCTGAGTTTCATAAACAAAAATAAGATCTGTTAAGTCCTGTGTGTCACAGTGTGACAGCTGGGTGAAGGAGGTGTGGTTTAGCTGCAGGTGTGTTCAGGTAACCTCTGTACCTGCAGGCCTCAGTGAAGAACCAGCAGCCTTCTCAGCAGAACTGAGGGTGCCATCAGATGCTTCCTGAAACAACAGGTGGATGAAGAGTGGGCAGGTGAGTGCAGGCAGAGGCGGGGCTTGTGGCTCAGCAGGTGAGTGTTTGTTTACCTGCCTGAGGTTCTGCAGACCCTCCTCCTCCTCCTGCACGGAGCTGCTGGAGTCCAGCTGATCCACGTGGAAGACCTTGGTCACGATGGAGCTCTGCCTGCCGTCACTGCATCACATTCACGCTCAGCAAGGTAAACAGGAAGTGATACCGTACGTGTCACCAGGTGAGAACTTACACAGTGACGGCCACAGCTCTGATGGACACCTGGCCAGCAGGTAACAGGAAGGGCCTGCTGTATTTCCTGCTGGCCCCCGTGGGCCCTCGCTGCCCCACCTCTGGCCTCGAGCCATCCAAGGTGAAGAAGATCTGCACATCTGAGGAGTCTACATACACACACACACACACACACACACACACACACAAACACACACACACACACACACACAC